ACCATTAATCAATTAAGAAGTCAAAACACATAAGTCACATAATTAATCAACCAAAACAACTAAGTCACATAATTAAATTAATTAATCAATAAAAACAAAATTAAATTCCCAATTTTATCCTTTTGAAAATTAGGGGTATTATAGAGAGAGCCGGCTCCATGGAGGAGGGAGCCGGCTCCCTGATCTTCAGAGCCGGCTCTGTGGAGTCCAGAGCCGGCTCTAGGTCCCTCTGAGCTGTCCATGAAGCATGGAGCATGGAGCCGGTTCCATGCTCTGAAAGAACCTGCTCTTTCAGTTTTGAGAGCAGGCTCTCCTATTTTGATGCGTATTGGGTTTTTTTTGGGGCACTGTTTGGATGAGCTATGGATTTCGAACAGTTCTGGGAGTATACTGAGGTGTTTAACATTGTTATATAATTGTTACTAAGAGTCTCAGTGCATGGTTTATACAGTTATGCGAGTAGGATGAATAATATGAAATTAAACGCTTTTGCATGCTATTAACGGATAAAACATATTTGAATTGCATAATTCTAAATTAGTGTTTTAATGGATTATAACATGAGGTTAAATAATATTTTAGAGGCACAGTAGGGTCTTCAGTTAACTGACTGGACCTATGCAGGACTTAGACTTTGGATGCTTGTCTACTCTTTATAATTTTGGGATTATCTGGTTTGAACTGGATTATACTTTGGGTTGTAATCGTTGTAATAACATATACTATTCTGCAAGTAATTGGATAATGGTTTTAGGAATTTAATTGTTGAGAGCTTATGTATTATTCTGCAATTAATTGAAGGATGGTTTTAAACTGTAATTACTGAAATATTAAATATCTTCTTGCAATTATTTGGATTATGGTTTGGACTGTAGATTACTAAACTTCTATTTATGTGTTGTAATTTACATTGACATGGAGGATGGTATGCACCGGTATGGGACGGTGGCATACTAGGGACGGTTTAGCTCAAAACGCTAAAACCTAACCTATCGGATGAAAGGAATGGATTGTAAATTATTGAATCCTAAATTGTGTTTAAGTCAGATCAACTAAGTTGAGTGACTTCCTGGATTTGTTGGTTGTAGTTAAGTCATATCAGCTGAATAAGTTGAATGACTATCTGGATTGTGTTTTGTATGTCTCCTCAATGAATAATTGAATAACATACTCTAGATTTGGACGGACTTTAGATATATGGTTATGGTACCACGAGATGAGCTTGAGTCTCAGGCTCGTTGGTTAGGGTGCATATATGCAGTGGATGCGTAGCTGGATATAGTAGGTAGGTGTACCCTGTTAGGTCTAGGTACTCATGCCCACCTTTGGGTGCGTTTTCGCATGTTGCCTTCTATTCAGGTTGAGACCCCTATTATAGTCCACAGAATGTCCCTTAGTGTGGATATATATATATATATATATATATATATATATATATATATATATATATATATGCATGAACTAAATAGATATTGTGAGGTATCTAGGGTGTATCTGCGTATCGGGTCCACTGGATGGATTCCCAAGTTGTACTCATGGAGGTTTTGGATTTGGAGGATTTTATATTTCTTAATTCTTTCAGCTTTATAATTTAAATTCTTAAATCTTTATATTCTATGTTCGCTTTAAAATATTTTAATTGTTTGATATTTCCCTCGGGTTTGGGCTTGGGCCTGATCAACCCGTGTCGTGGATCTGAGGGGTATCACACCAGCTATGCATCCCACTCATATACGCTCCCTAACCATCGATCCTAAGACTCAAGCTCATATCGTGGTACCATAATCACATATATATATATAAATCTATCCAAAACTAAAGTATGTCATTCAATTGTTTATTGACCTGACACAAATATAAGCAGGACTTAACTTTAATAGTTAATCCATCATTTATTCCATAATAGGTAGGACTTAGTGTTTTGAACTAATCCATCCCTAATATGCCACCGTCTCATACCAGTGCATATAATCCACAAAATAGTCCAATAATTGATAAAACATAAATAAGTAATTCATCAATTATAATTCAGAGAATAATATAATATAAATCAGATAACTAATTGAGCACATTATATTGAATTATACAACGGTATAATCATACTAATCCATTTAACTTGCTAAAACAATAACAAGCAATTAAATCTTCCACTTTTATAGACAGCATACAAATAAGTATTAAATTTCATGATATCCAATATTTTAGCATAATAGCATAGACTAAAAATCCTGGAATTTTAACATGTTAATTTAGATCATTTAAAACTCCCTATTAAAGTCCAGAATTTTATTTTAACCCCTAAAGTTCTAAAAATCTCAAAATTATACCCGTAGATGCACTGCTAGCAGGGGAGCCACCTCTCCCAAAGAGGGAGCCGCCTCTTCCCTTTGTGAAGCCATCTCTCCCCAATGAAAAGCCGGCTCTACTCCTTGTGGAGCCGGCTCTCTCCCTCCCAGAGAGCCGTTACTAAAACCTTTCATCTTCTTCGCTTCTGGCGATATTGCAGAACCCTCTGTAATGTTTTATTAAGGTTCCTAAGCTTCAATCTATGTCCCAAATAATCCTATAAATTCATAAAATACAATATGCATCATTAACAATAATTTAAAATACCTAATATGAAGCAATTGATACGATACATTAATTTTCAATTAGCAACACATAACCAAGTTAAAATTCTAAATTAATATGCATACAAGATCAGTTTTAAAGTCTGATTAAATCCTGGAGATTATCTAGGCATGCACAGAACACAAGTCTAAGGGAAGGAGTAGGATATAGAACTTGCCTTTGAGATTTCGGACTAAAATTTCAATGTTGTCTTCCTAGATTTTTGGCAATTCCTTGACTGTTCTCAACTCCTCTACTGCTTCTGGTTCAACCCACAAGTAGTCTTCTTCCTTCCTCCTTAGTCCAACCTTTCATCTATGGCCGAAACCCTAACTTGTTCTCTTAGTTTTCTCTCAAACCTCACTATATATCACTCAACCTCTGCGTGTACGTGAATAGGGTTTTTAACCCTTGGCAGACATAACAACATATATATAAGCTTAAAAACCTAATTCTAATTAAAATTAGAGAAGGAAAAGAAAAGAAAATAAATATATAACTAAGTCAGCTATCCCACCACGTGATTTCATAAAAATATATAAAACCCTAAAACTATATTATACATATATAATGAATAATGATACTGATTTAATCATTAATAATAATTAATAATTAAACAAACCCTATATACATATATACCCATATATATATGTATAACCATCCATGGGTATTAACTGTACCCATTAACCTCCTATCCAACTAATCCATACTATCCAAGCCCAATTCTTTAAAATAAAATAAACATTTAATCACATAATTTAATTAACCAATTTATTACTTTATTCAAATCAAACAATTATTTCAATTTTCACGTAAGCATACAATATAAATAAAAACAAATAATTAAATTAAACAATAATCCAATTAAATAATTAACCAATTAAACATATAATCAAATCATCAATTAATCAATTATATAAATAAAAATGCAAATAAAAGAAATACCGAGACTATTCTTTTAAAATTAGGGGTATTACAATGTTTGAAAATGGTATTGTATGGGTTAAAACTGCCTCATTAAAACCTTGTCAGGAAAACCTAGTGGGAAAAACCATAGCGAAGGAAAAAGAGTATACAATATGCTAATACATTTTCAATTCAATTGTTCCCCCTCATTCAGCATTAAAAATCTTTGAGTCGACGCATTCCAATATTATGCACCAGCTTCTTGAATGTTGTAGTTGGAAACGCTTTAATAAATAAATCTGCTAGATTATCACTTAAGTGTATCTGTTGAACATCAATATCACGACTCTTCTTGAGCTCGTGTGTGGAAAAGAATTGTAGTGAAATGTGTTTAGTTCTGTCACTTTTTATGTAGCCTCCTCTTACCTGTGCAATATATGCTGTATTATCTTCATATAATATTGTTAGCCTGTCTTTGATTGAGGAGAGTCCACATGATTCCCGTATATGTTGTACCACAGATCTCAACCAAACATACTCTCGACTTGCTTTATGAATTGCGAGTATCTCAGAGCGATTTGAGGAAGTTACAGTCATGGTCTATTTCATAGATCGCCATGATATAGCAATATCACCATAAGTAAACAAGTACCTTGTTTGTGATTGTGCTGTATGTGGGTAAGAAAGATAACCTGCATCTGCATATCCAATCAACTGGGGCTTTGATTTTCTTGAATAAAACAGCCCAATATCAGTCATTCCCCGAAGGTAACGCATAATGTGTTTGACCTCATTCCAATGTCTCCGAGTTAGTGCAGAATTATATCATGCTAATAAGTTGACTGCAAATGCTATATCAGGGCTAGTGCAATTTGTAAGGTACATAAGAGCACCGACTACACTAAGATATGGTACTTCAGGACCAAGACCTTCTTCGTCTTCTTCTTGAGGACGAAAAGGATCTTTCTTAATATCAAGTGATCGGACAATCATTAAAGAACTTAAGGGTGAGCTTTATCCATATAAAAGCGTTTTGGGACTTTTTCAATGTATGTTGACTGATGGATAAGAATTCCACTTGGTAAATGCTCGATTTGCAGACCAAGACAAAATTTTGTTTTACCAAGATCTTTCATTTCAAATTCTTTCTTTAAATAATCAGCAGTCGTGCTGAGCTTTTCAGAAGTTCCCACAAGATTTTGATTGTCAACATATACAACTATAATGACAAATCTAAATTTTGATTTCTTGATGAAAATGCATGGACAAATTGGATTATTTATATATCCTTCTTTTAGTAAATAGTCACTTAGACGATTGTACCACATGGGTCCAGATTACTTTAAATATCCGTACAAGGATCATTGTAGCTTGATCGAATATATGGTACGCGGTTTCAAGTTATTTACTTAAGGCATTTTAAATCCTTCAGGGATTTTCATATATATGTCACTATCTAATGATCCATATTAATAAGCTATAACCATGTCCATCAGACGCATATATATCTGATCCTTCTAAGACTGTCAAACTGATCAAGAAGCGAAATGTGATTGCATCCATCACATGAGAGTATATTTCCTCATAATCAATACCAGGTCTCTGCAAGAAACCTTGGGCTACAAGAGTGGCTTTGTATCTTATAACTTTATTTTTCTCATTATGTTTCTGTACAAATACCCATTTATACCCTACAGGCATGACATCTTCAGGTGTTTGGATTACAGGTTCAAATACTTCACGTTTTGCTAATGAGTTTAGTTCTACCTGTATGGCTTCTTTCCATTTTTGCTAATCAATTCTACGTCGACACTCTTCGACGTTTTGAGGTTCAGGATCCTCATGATCACCTGCAATTTCAAGAGCAACTGCAAAGGAGAATATATCGTTAATAATAATTGTATTTCTATCTCACAATTCTTTATAGTTTATTAAGATCTCATTATTTTTAGGTACAAGTGCCACTTCCGGGGCATACCTCTTCTTAGGCCTTTGCCTCTTCTGGAGCTTATGACATTTCTGGAGCTTGCCTCTTCTGTGGCTACTTGCTTATAAAATTTATATTGATCAATCATATTTGTTGTTCCTTTTGCAAGTGTGGCCTTTTCAGGAGTGCCAATTTCTTTATTTGATTTCTCTTATACTTTCATTTTCCGGGGAACAGTATCTTTTGCACCAATAGGCCTACCACACTTCTGGCGTGTTTTAGATATATCAGCTTCGGTACTAATGGGATATCCTTCAAGGGCATCAATTTGGGCTAGAATATATGCAGTCGGTATATGAGACTTTACCATTTTCTTTGTATCAGTGAATGTATCTGACAATTGATTTGCAATATCTTACAAATGAATGATCCTCTAACTTCTAGTTCACATTGATTTGTTCGAGAATCAAAATGAGATAAAGTTAAGACATTTCAATTAATCTAATGTCGCTCTGTTGGTTGTTTCTTTCCTCCCCCTAATGGTGGGAAGACAACCTCATCAAAATGACAGTCAGCAAATCGTGCTTTAAAGACATCACATGTCGTAGGTTAAAGATATCCAAAGATAGATGGAAAATCAAAACTTACATAAATCCCAGGTCGTTGTTGAGGACCTATTTTGGTGCGCTGTGGTGGTCAAATAGGAACATGCACATCGCAACCAAAAACTCGCGAGAAATATTTGGTTATCGACCAATAAGGTGAAAAACTATGGTAAACAGTTGGTCTAATGCGAACTAAGAATGCTGCATGTAATACGACATGTCCCCAATCAGATATATGGAGCTTTATTCTCATAAGTAATAGTCTAGCAATTAACTGAAGACGTTTAATAAAAGATTCTGCAAGACCATTTTGGGTATAAGTGTGTGGAACATGATGTTCAACATCAATGTCAATTGACATGCAATAGTCATCAAATGCTTGAGACGCGAATTCACCGGCATTATCAAGATGGATCGTCTTGATCAGACAGTCCAGGAATTGTGCTCGTAATCGAATTATTTGAGTAAGAAGTAAAGCAAATGCATCATTATGAGTAAAAAGTAAACTTACATGTGACCACCGTGTTAATGCATCGATTAAGACCATAAAAAACCGAAATGGTCCACACGCTGGATGAATTAGTCCACATATATCTTTTTGAATTCTTTGTAAAAACATTGGGGATTTAACGACGACCTTTGAGGGTGACGGTCTGACAATCAATTTACCTAGTAAGCATATGGTACACGAATAATCATTTGACAAAATAATCTTCTGTTTCTTTAGTAGATGCCCATGTGAATTTTCAATGATTTGGCGCATCATTGTTGACCCAGGATGGCCAAGATGATCATGCTAAAGTATAAAAATCTTTGGGTCATAGCACTTCTAGTGCATTATAACATTTCGGGTGCTTGCACTTTTGGTGCATCACTACATATGATTTAATTGCTCTTATAGTTGTAGAATAAAATCCAGAAGAGAGAGTAAGGAGTTTTTCTAATACATATTTCCAGCATGAAACAATAGATGTAATGTATAGATAGTCAATATTACCTTCATTTATAGTTTCAATATGATATCCATTACGACGTATATCTTTAAAACTCAACAGATTTCTTCTGGATCTAGTTAAATATAAAACATCATTAATATATAATTTTGTTCCACATGGTAACAAAATATTAGCTCTTCGAGAGCCTTCAATCAAGTCTGCAGGACCTGATATTTTATTTACACTAGCTTCAGCTAATGTTATATATGAGATAAGTATTTTCTATCTCGAATGATAGTGTGCGTTGTTGCACTATTTGTTAAACACATATCCTCACTAGATTTCTTGGACTTAGTTGCCAGATCCATTCCTCTTCACATATGCAAATTTATAATTGATTACTTTCAAAAAGAAATATGAAAAGTAGATAAAATATAAGAATATTGAGATAGGAATAAAATCACACTGAAACAGATACAACAAAGTATACTTAGAGAGTTACAATATAGCTACAATATGGCTAGTTGCAAATATCATACCGGAAAATAGAAGAACATAGCTGCAGTACGGGTAGTTGCAAATATCATACAAAAAATAGGAGAACACATTAATTGGTATAGATATCATTAATGAGATGGTTAATTTTGCCAGTGGGATCTTCAAAGAAATCCAAGACATCCAGGTGAGTGATGTCTACTGGCTCATCATCATCAATAAAATTCATTTCAATATTTTTTTTTTTTTTTCATTTACTGAGACTTGGTTAAGGTCGGCCAGATATCTGGGTGTACAACAGGTACGCGACCAGTGCCCTTTCATGCCATACCGATAACAAGGCTTATCTGCATAATTCTAAGGGGTTTTGTTTTGTAAACCTTTTTCTTTTGTCTGCTTGGTCACATTTGTATTCTACTTCTGATGGAACGACTTCCACTTCTTGTGGAACGGTGTAGGGTTCCTTCTGAGAAATTATGAAGGATTTTGAACACCACAGTTGTGGTAATTGTTTCTACCATAACCATCCCCATTATCACGGCCAAGACCACGACCACGTCTGTGATACCCCTCGGATCCGAGACATGGGTTGATCAGGCCCAGACCCAAACCCGAGGGATATCAAACAATTAATATATAATAACGAACACAGAATACAAAAGGAATTTAAGAAATAAAAGTTTAAAAGCTGAAAAGAATACTAAAACATAATCCTTAAAAATTTGAATACTTAAGATCCAACAATCCAAAACTTCCTTAAAATAGAACCCTCCAATAATTTAACAATTCGGGAATCCATCTCTAGTGGAACCCTAATAAAAATCCCAAACTGAAAGTAAATAAAATACCGAGAAAGAATCTAAAGCTAAACATAGAAAAGATTCCTACATAGTTGGAGAAATGAATATCTGTATCTGCGCCGCACGTCCAAGCTCTAACTCTGGAACTGACGAACGCCTGAAAAATAAGAGAATGGGTCAGGCCCACATGCAAGTCCTATTCTACTACGATCCATACAGTAATCCGATACGCAGATACATTCTAAATAGACTCAATAATATCTAGAGTAGTCCATATATGTATATATAATACACACTATAGGACGCTAGCTAATCCAGTAAGTCTGTCTCAGCCTGAGTAGAGATACCATGCAAATCGCACATAATGTGGTAATGTGTACCTAGACCTACCAGGGAACAACAACTACTGTCCAGTTATCCATCCTAGGCGATATACGCACCCTAACCATGGTCCTGAGACTCAAGCTCATACCATGGCACCATATCATAAATATATAAAATCCGTACTCCTAATACAAAATATCAACCATCTGTGTGAAGGTTTAATATATGTACAGTCAATCCATCCTGAAACCAAGTAGGTCATTCAATTGTTTTATTGACATGATACAAATATGAGATGGACTTAATATTTAAGGTTAATCCATGACTCAATCCAGGTTAGGTAGAACACAGTGTTTGAACTAGTTCATACCTAGTATGCCACCGTCTCATACAGGAGTATACAATCCTCCAGATAACACAAGTACGTATAATTGATAAAATAAGAATAAATACTCATCAATCATACTTTAGAATAAGCATACATACAGTCAAACATGTGTACGATCAAATTATACATCCAATATAAGACTTAGAAATCTTATTCCAGTCCTTTAAATTTATAAAGTAGGACTACGCATATAACCCCTCCAAACAGTACCATAACTGATGCAATGTAAAGTAAATTTAAAACATTAATTAACTTCCATCTAAGCATACTTATTTCTTTGCAGATAAATAACTATATGCTTATAACATAGGGAGACATGATTAACAATTTTAAATCATGCAAAGCATCCAAACCGTTTTAGAACCACAGTAAAGAACTTCAATTCATTATCCAATTTTCCACTTACAGGTTTATCGTTTAACCTTGTATTAATATATGGTTTAACCTATTAGCATCAACATACTTTCCAATAGTATTCATAAGTCTGTAACAAGCAAATTCCTCATCCTTAGCCACTGGATCCATTTAAACAACCCCTCAATAATTTATAGAAATTATTCTCAAATCCATAATGTCCAATTCCTTAGGCCTAAGAGGTGTATTATACACTCTAGAACCTTTCATAGTCCATTTAACCCATTAGATTTAATTAAAATAGGTTTTAAAACAAATCTGGGCATTAAAAACTAAAATCCACGTCGCTGTCCAACTAAGCCGGCTGAGTCCCCTACTCAGTCGGCTGAGTCCCCAACTCAGTTGGCTGAGTTCGTGCTGACTCGTCTTCTCTTTCTATTCTTCGTCTATTCAGCCTCTTTAAACCCTAAAACTCCATTGTTAAGGCCTCTAAGCTTCAACCTAAGCCCCATATGTCCATTCTAAGTTATTTTTGGTGTTTTTTTCATGTAAAGATTTAAACTTATACCATAGTTCATGCATAAAGATCTAAAATAAATAAATCACGTGTAAACATATACAGACATGAAACTCTCTGTTTAATTCCGACTTAGCATGCACAATTATTTCATTTTAGTATTAATTAAACTCCTGGAGTCTAGCTAGGCATGCACAGAACACAGATTAAAGGGAAAGAGAAAGAACTTGCCTTTGAGTTTCAGATTTGAAACTCTAAACCACAGTTTTTGAATGCTCCATTAATGTCACTGCAGTTCCACCTCTGTTGCCCTTGATTTCTCCTACGAGCAACCTCTCATTCCTCCTCTCTCAGTA